TGAAGTAAAAATTCAATTTTATCCTTCTGCAAGCTTACTTACAAATGACCCAGCATGCCCTTTCAAGGATTTATTGGGAGATAAACAGCACCAGCAGGCCAGGTGAGTGGTAGTCCCTCAGCTACTTTTTAATGTCTTCTATCAAGTTGGCCACAGTTCAGAGGTTCCTAAATCTGAAGAACCCAAATGTTCATCAAAGAAAGGTGTTTTGAGATGGTGGAAAGTGTTTTACTTATGCAGAGTAGATTTACCCAAGGCCAGTCATGTCTCGTTGATACCATCCTGTCTGTTCAGATGGAAGGCAACACAAACTTTCGCAACTTTGAAATCTTGAGGTAGGTACATTTTGTTCAACCCACTCACCTTTTCCAGTCAGGAACTAGCAATGGGATGTTCCCCGTCCTAGTGACCAGTGGTGATTTAAATCCTTCCTAAAGTGTACCTCTTTATTCTAAAGAACGGAGGGCAGCATGATGCAGCCCTAGCACGGACCCTGGAGTAGAAAACATGGACCCAGACACCACCAGTTCCGCTGTTTACCGGATGACCAAGGGTGAGTCCCGGGTCATCCAGCACAAGCTAGTTTGAGACTCCCACCTACCGAGAGTCAAATGGGATTGGCTTGACACTGCTAGTAAGAGTGAGAGCTCCTTCCCTGATGAACAGTGAACAGCTAGCTCTTCCTTGTCCTTAATATATGCCTCTCTGCCCCTTCTATCTCTCGGTCCCAGTTCTGCCCTAGAAGCAGAACATCCTCCAGACAGCAACCTTCAGATACCGTGTGTGAAGACAGGTGTTACACGCCCCCCACAAGTTCCCCTTGGCCGTTCCTTAAATGACTTGATACCCTGACAACATTCCCCACATCAGACCAGCTCTTACTGACACCTGATACAGAACTCCAGATGCATTCACACCTAGTGATTCCCAAACTGGGCTGATCAGCATCACCTGGGGGGCTTTTAGAGCTGCCCTGGTAGCACAGTGGTGAAGCCCTCAGTGCTAACTGAAAGGTCAGCAGTTTGAACCCACCGGCCGCTCCTTGGGAGGAAGACGTGGTAGTCTGCTTTTGTAAAGATTATAGTCTTTCCTGGAAACCCCGTGGGGCAGTTCTGCTCTGTCCTATGAGGTCACTATGAGTCAGAATTTGACAGCAATGGTTTGGGGAGTTTTTTAAAAACAGGATTTCCCATCATCACTGAATCAAAACCTTTAGGGGTGAGTCTTAAGAATCTAGAACTTTTGTAAAATCTCCCCCACCCCCCGGCCCCAGGTGATTCTGCTCATCACCCAGATTTGGGAACGACTCATCGAATCAGCATAATAGGACTCCTTTTCTTGGTCTTAAAAGAGATGTTTGCCGATTTGGAAACAAGGTACAGACTTTTCTCAATTGAGTCTTATTTCAGAGTTTAACTATAGGACAAATCATTGACAAGAGGTGAGGAAGTTTAAAAAGGAACCAATTAAGGCAAATTATAATAAGTGCATATGATGCAGTACAGAGTAAGCTTGTTCTCTGGGGAATCAGGGATACTAGACAGTGGCTACTGGAGAATCGCTGAGTAACCTAGAGCTTTTCCTTATGGAAAGGAAAGGAGGAAATAAGTATTTTAAAGCAGGCTTAGGAGATCTAATAAGGAACCCTGCTGCTAACCGAAAGGCTGGAGGTTTGAACCCACCAGCCCTCCGCAGCAGATGTGAAAGTCTGCTCCCGTAAAGATTTACAGCCTCTGAAACTCTATGGGGGAGCTCTACACTGTCCTATAGGGTCACTATGAGTCAGAATGAACTTGATGGCAGTGGGTTTGGTTTGGGTTTAGGAGATACATTATCAAACAGTATTAAAAATTAATCTTCTTAAATTCCGACTGTATTAAATGTTCCAGTCCCTTTGATTGTTTCAAGGAGCCCTGGTGGCACAGTGGTTAAGCACTTGGCTGCTTACCTTAAGGTTGGTGGTTTGAACCCACCATACACTCTGCAGAAGAAAGATGTGGGAGTCCGCGTCCATAATGATTACAGCCTTGGAAACCCTAGGAGGCAGTTCTACTCTGTCCTACAGAGTGGTTATGAGCCGGAATCAACTTGACAGCAATGGGTTTTGACTGTTTCAGAACTCCAGATTCTTTATTATCTTTGGGCCTACAAATCTGACTGCACTTCTGCAGATATCAGTGATGCTTCTGTACCTTCTTCCTCTACCTGTTCTTCATATATGTTTGCATATACACCTAGTTGTAAATATGATGATCTACACAGCTTATTTTATTAACGATCTATGTGTCCCTGACTACCTCTTAGATGATAATTTTCTCAAGGACAAAGACTGTGGCTTCAACTTTCTTAATAATTACCTTCAGTGAGCATATAAGTATTCTTTATTAGTGAAAATTGTTTGATAATCATAACAATGGTCAGGAACTTGGGAAGGTTACCCAACCTGGCTTAGCTACTTACCAGCAGAGTGGGAAAACGACTTAACCTCCAAAAAGCCTTAATTTCTTCTTTAGTAAAATGAAGATATCACTACCTCAAAGATGTTAAGATTAACATTTAGGGGAAAAAAAAGTAAAATGCTGAGTATAGGGACCGTTACGTAACAAATATGATGGGTTATTTCAGCAGCTCTAGAGTCAAAACTGGGACAGGTAATGGGTTATCATAGAAAACATGAATGAAGACCGATGGAAAACGCTTGAAAGTAACATGCACAGGTATCTGTAACAAGGGAAGTTGGAGGGAAAAAAGGGAAGTGGGGAGGAAAACTGACTTTTCAATATTCATGAAAAAAATCTTGGATATAGGGGATTTCACTTACTAAAAATTCACATACAGTGTGATACAGATGCTTAAAAAAGAGAATGCACTCTCAGGTCCCCATTGACAGTCCAGTCCAGCTGGTGACTGTGCTCATCCTAAGAACACCTTTCAGAGCTATACACAAACAAGGGCTTCCAGAACAGGGCTCATGAACGGTGAAGGGCTGGAAAGCCACACAACAGAAAGACCAGTCTTGGGAACAGAACACGGGCTAGGAAAATGAATGAGGGAGAATAAGGCAACATAAATGGATTATCTTTTAACAATTCAAGTTACACAACAACGGTCTGGATGATAAGCAGAGAGATTTTACAGGAGCGACTACTACACCGGAGTGGGAAGGAGTGGTAGTAAGAGTTGACTTTTAAAGTACTGTCCCCTCCAAAATACTATGATTCTAAATTTAAACATTTAAACTTGGGATTTTGTTCGAAAGACAATACTACTACATAGACACATGCAGGCTATGTGCTGATTTAATGCAGGCACATACAAAACACTGTTTTCACGTGGAATGCTACTCTAGGGAAAATCCCTTTAGGTAAGCAAAGTAATAACTTTTGAGTAAAAGTACTAACAATTTCCAAAGTGTATATTCTAATTCATAAATACATTTCAGGCAAAAAGGAAAAACCACACTTAAAAACCCACCAGCACAAATAAACCAACTTTAATAGATATTATTTTGTATTTATATAGCGCCTTCTTCAAGAACCTTAAATGCTTTACAGACATTATATCTAATTAATCCCCACAACAACCCTGTGAGGTAGGTATTACTCCCATTTTACAAGATAGGGAGACTGAAGCACAGAGAGGTTAAGTGACTTGCCCAAGGTCACACAGTTAAGTTCACTGAAGAGGCAGGACCTGAGTGCCTTAGCCTCCCAGCTCCCAGTTAAATACCTCATGAGAGAATCTTTAATGAAAAGTGTCTTTAAAGAAAGTATCAAGAGTAGTTATGTTATGAAAGTGAGGTCTTTCTACCACCGTCAAGGAAAGAAAAAGCCCTATACTGATGGTTAGAGGCAACAAGACCCATATATTACACACTTCCTTCTTTCCTTTTCCCTAAAGCCTCATGGTTCCTGTCTTAAGTAATCTTCTAAAGGTAAAGTTTCCAAGACTGAAACCATGGGACCTAGAAGTAGAACTTAATTTAGAATATTTACTTTTAGTTAAGATAATTTATAGAAATTTTTATTCCAATATACAAAATATGGGACAGCCATCCCAACAAACATGTACATAGTTACACAGCAATCAGCCACCACTTACAACTTAAATCTGCCCTTCATTTAACCACAGTCAACCAACAGACAACCTCACAATGCTTTCTAGATGGGCCACTGTTCTTACTTATTATACCTGCGTTATTTTTCCCAGCCCTACCCCTATATGCTTTAAAGTACATTGAATCTCTGATAAACTTCAAAACTTCTTACTTAGATTCAGCTGCACTAAGAGTAAATTTAGAACCCTCACCCCCTAAGTCCCTCCCCTGATAAATCATACTATTAAATAAGGTGTAGATCTGAACAAAATGTGGAACCTACCATGGAACTCAACAAAAATGCCATAACTTGCTTTCGTGTGAAACTGAACCTTAGCTTTTATGGCATATGTATATTTTTAAATGCAAAATGTAAAAACAAACACAATGTAGTATTCCAATGCTGTACTCTTATGCAAATGACTTCATCTTTCCTTCTTATATATGCTGTGGCTTAACTGATATAAAAAACTGATTCAGCTTAACTTTACTCATTTTCCCTGTATTGAAAGCCACAGGAATACAGCTCTAAATTCCAAGACAATCTGGCTTAAGCTCTTAAAACAAAATGTATCCTTCCCATCGCTAAGACTTTCCCCACATTCCTGGTTGTGAATCTCCACAATGCGGGCAGACAGGGCAGGCTATGTAGAATTTGTACAAAACAATTCCAGCCTGGGTAAGACTTCAGAAACTGTATCATAAAAAGCAATTTGTTAAAATCCATCATAATTTTCTTCCAGCAAGTCTGCTTCAAGAGCCCAATCAGCTAAGTGACCCTGTTAAAATCTGGTCACTGAACGAATAGGTGAAGTCATTTCCTGAGCTAAAAGATACAGATAATAAATGTTAATAGTAGCAGCAGACAAAAAACATTCTATTTTTTTGTTGTTGTTGTTGCCTGTTTTTCATATTCAACAGCTTTAGTAAAATAACTTTAGAAAATTACAGCAATTTAAAAACGAGAGAGAGACTACTGCCTGAAAGGGTTTGATAAAGAACATTCAAGGCCCAATTGCAATTATTTGGAATATACAGTCAATTATTTTCTGCAAGTTACATTCGCCTACTATCAGACAACTTACTGATGCATGGAAAAGTGTCAACAGCAACTTAATTTGTTTTACATATATTTTACATTACATATATTACTTCTTAAAAACCTCCAACAGGATGAAGTCTTAACAAACACAAATTTCAATTCCTGAATGCGCTTACAGTATTGTTTTTTGTATTCCTGGTCTGCTTCATTAAAATTTAATCTCCAAAGGAGTTTTGTAGCTAGCTACCCTTGGTGCTGGGGTTATAAAGAATGGATTACTTCTTTCCAGGGTAAAGAATGACATTTGAAAATAACATAATTGTTATGACATGAATTTTCCAAGCGTGGCCTCAACTCTAAACAGAATATTTCAGAACTCTAAAGACTGACATTCCACCATTGCACCAGAATTTCTTTTATCATTCTATCATTCTTTTATCATTTATAGGGAATTTTGATAGTTTTTTTTTAAATTTTACTAAAATTAAAGCTGAATAAAATAACTGACTTAGGAACTATAACAAAAGGACAAATATTTAGCCAGAGATATCAGTTCCTCCTGAAAAAGAATATTTATCTCCTCTCATTGAAATTTTTCTTAAGGTATCTTACTGATTTCAAATAGAATTTAAAATTCACCTTAAAGAGAGAAACAAAAGGACATATCAAACTGACAAAAACTAATAAAAATATGCTCAAATTTACTGACAGAATCATGGGCACTTCATACAATACTTAGACTCTACCAGTTTTAAGTAAAATAAATAAGAAAAAAATTATAATTACAAAGCCAGTCTTTCCCCTTGGGGAAACAAAAAGCCTTTTTCGACCAATTGTTCCCTACATATACATATACTGTATATTATTATAAGCTTCTTCAGAGAAGCAAAACATATTTGTCTTCCTGACACTGGATTCTAGTATCTGTTAGTTTATTACATCAGGAAGGCAACTGCAAGTGTTGGGCCCAAAAGTATTTCTGGTTTATGCTTGAAGAAAACCACAGAACAAGCTTTCTATACATACTGAACACAGGCAAGTTGATGCAGTGTATTCAATATTGTCTTCTTACATAATCAATACAACCTGGCACAGATTCCTATTCTTTCTACTGCACCCCAAGGAGTTCAAATAATTACTGGTGCAAGTGACAGAAAGAAAACGCATGCCAATGACTGGAAGGCTGTTTGATGAGAGGAGCTGGTATCTCTGCTTGTACTCACTGGTTGTATGAACTGCACAGACAGCATGATACCTGAGCAAATAAATCAACTACCATGATAGGAAGGGCTTGTTCATCCAGATTCTTTGCTTTATTGTGTGCAAAGTGTGCTGCTGCCCCCTGAGCTTCCTGCATTTCTCTTTTCTTGAAAAATCAGTACTTGATCCTTTCGAAAATAACCAGAGAAGAAATGAGGCAGAAAGTCCTCTCTTCATCACAGTTCCCATTCAGTCCCGAGACTGATAGAAGAGGATGTAACCGGACTCAGAGTTCTTTGAGATATCTGATGTCAACCCGTAGAATTCTTCAATAGCTTGTGCATCTATTTTCTGTGATGCAAAAGGTACACACTATTAGTTTATAAATGAGCTTTCTGAACTACTCGACATGCATTTCTTACCAGTGAAATCTTCAACACTTCTGAATCATGACCTCCATTTTCTCATTTATAAAATAGCTCTGTACAACCAGAGTGGCTTAAATTAAAAATACTGACAATTCCAAATATTGGCAAGAATGTGGGACCACTGGAACTCTCACACATAGCTGGTGGGGATGTAAAATGGTTCGAACACTGTGGAAAAATGTTTGGCAGAATTTTCTAAAGATATACATACAACTACCCTTTGCTCTAGCAATTCTATTCCTAGGAATAGGTTAAAACGTATGAAAACCATTTTGGATTACAAAAATGTCAACTTCATATGATCGAACCTAATATATACCCAAGAGAAATGAGCGCATAAGTCCAGCTAAAGGCACATACAAGGATGACCAAGGCAGTTTTACTCATGATAGTTAATAATGGGCAAAAAGTCAAATTTCTAATCTGGTATATTCATGCAATGTAAAACAATACAGTAATTAAAAAGACCTATGAGTCGGAATCTACTCAACGGCAATGGGTTTATGTTTTAATACTGTTACAGAGAAGATGGTTCTCACAGATTAAAACGCTAAGTGAAAAACGCCAGAAACAAAAGAAGTCCTACTGTATAAGTCCATTTATATTCAAGAATATCCCCCGCAAAAAACCAAACCCACTGCAGTCGAGTCGAGAAGAGGCAAAATTAATCATAATGATAAAAGTCAAAATATCGAGTTCCAGGGACAGAAGGTAAAGAACTTTTTGAGGTACTGACCAGGAGGAGGAACAAGGGAGCCTGATGGGGTATTGCAAATGTACTCAATCTTGATTTGGATGGTGGGTGCAAAAGTGTGAGTGTGTGTGCACATGCATGTGTGGACACGTGTGCACATATAAAAATTCGAGTTGTTAAGTAATGTGTACTTTACTGCAGCATGTTCCAGATGACTTTTTTTTTTAATAATCAAAGTTTTTTTTTAATTGCACTGTCGTTGAAAGCTTTTCCTTGTTTATTCTAAATGGTAATGGTTAGATGACCACTGAAGCACTGAGGTTAGACATCAGGGAGCAAGAAGTAGGAATTAAACTATAACCTGAAGACCCAGACATCTGTCTAATACTCATCACCTGTCATGTACAAATGAGAAGCTGTGAGACATACGTGAAGAGCAAAATATAAACACAACTTTAAAGTGCAATAAGAAAGTAAGAAACCAACTACTTACTTCTACAATGTCGTCATCAAACAACAACCAAAAATCATGACTCTTAACTATTGCAATATAATGGCCTCGATTGGGACCACTAAAACAAAGAGAAATAAAAGTTAATTTTGTACAGTGTTTATTAATATTACTTTTATGCCCCAAATCACATGTTGTATAGAGTAGAAAAAGTGAAAACAGATAAAAATACCCCTTTATCTATTCTTCCCCCCACCCTCTACCAAAAGAAAAAGAAGAGCAAGCTGTGCTGATTTGAACTGGCATTCCATTTTAAAATCAAATAATTAGTACTCTACTATGAAAGATATAGCTAGTATTCGACTTGTAGAAAATCCTTTATTGAATTTTATAGAACTGAATTTTGAATACTCAAAATTCTTTTATTGTCTTTGTAATACTTCTCAAATTTTTTTTTTTGGTAATACTGTTCAAATTTGCTTGTATGAAAGGTTTAAATAATTTTTATAGCTTATTTTATTTATTTATTTTGGTCACAGCTTGAACATGCTCAGTTAAACTACAAAACAACAAATGTACAATTATTTCTAAGCCTCATCCCCTTGGTAATAGGTTTTTTTTTTCTCCCTTAAGGAAAGATCCAATGTGATACTTGAAAAGCCAAAGATATCAAATTAATTCCACAGTTCTGAAATCAAGATTGAACTTCGTAAGCTTCTTTAAAAGTAAATGACATTTGCCCAATGGTTAGTATCTTTAGTGCTATCTATATCTAATTCTTAGCACCACTATTTATAATCACCTCTGCATCTCATTTAAACAAAGGCAGAATACAGAAATCTAGGTATGCATAAAAATAAATTAACGAAGGATTGTTTCCTTTAAAAGAAACGCTTTGCTTTATGAAACGACATGACAGAGTTTATTCATTATAAAGCATATATAATTTTCATTAAATTGTAATTCTGTAAGTATAATTACATTTTGCTTGCAATAATTTTTCAAAAGAAATTATTCTTTAAGGTGAATACTATTCTAAAAGTAGCAACTGCAGACATTAGAATGAGCCACCTCCTATCATGTCTCATGTTCTCAGATCCTTTATCCTGTGGTGACATGAATATCCTAGGTGACAGAATGACACAAGAGTGCTTTATAAACTTTTCACTACAAAGGAAAACACCTCAAAACTTGAAAAAAAAAAACAACTTCTAATGTGTAAATAAGGCTATTTTCTCCATTTCTGTAGGATTCATCTAGAGTCTTGTACTTCACATAAGAAAAGGGAGGAAATAATTAAAAAAAAACATGGAAAGAGGGTGAAAACAAAGAAAAATCACAGAAAGATTGAGAAATGGAGGCTGAGAGGGGAGGAGTGGGTGGGTTGAGGATTGGTAGGTATAAGATGAGAAAAGTCAGGCAGTGTTTTCCTTTGGCACAGTTACTGTGACGAATGGTAGACAAAACCTAATCTCAGAAACTAATAATGAAAAGGACTGAGGCTAACAAACCTGTATCTAAGGAGTTTATTAGGAATTTACATTCTGAATATAAAACATGCTCAATCTGACATACGAATGCCTACTGTGTGCAAATAACTATGTTGGTTGCTATGGGGATTAGAAGAGACCAACAGCTCCCGCTCTGCAGACACTCCAGTACAGCAGGTAACTACACCGGAAATACCGTACAAGGCAAACTCCACTAGAGTCACAGGGGCTGGTAAGTGGAAACCTTCATCTACTGAAAGAGAAGGTTAGTCACATGGTGGAGTTGGTGCCTGAGATGGGCTTTAAAAATAATATTTAAAATTCAGCAAATATTTATTGCAAATCTACCATACGCCAGACACTGGGAATACAAAATGAGTAAGTTGAACTGCCACAGGCACGCTGAGAATGGGATTCCTCAACAGTTGAAGGATGCAGGCAAATGTACACCCTCCATATTCTCCTATGAGACAGGCCTACAAATAAATTTGATAAATAAAAGGAAAAAAAGATTAACAAATATTGTTACTGTAATCTCTTGTTCATAAGTTATTTCCTGTCTTAAGTTCTCATTCTTACAAGGGAGACAGACATATAAACTGATAAATACAGTATAATACAAAGCAGTAAGTCACAACTAGCAATACACATCTAGAATTTACACGAATACAGAGAAACAGCGCCTTGGAGATGAAGCTCCATAGAAGAGCATCAAGGAGGACTTCCAGAGAGATTTAAAAAGATACAAGAAAGGACAGGAAGAAGGCCTAAGACAACTAGAGCGAGCTAAAGGAAAAGGAAGAAATTGAGGTGGGGGTGGAATCTGGAAGAACCGCTGTGAAGACCTCACCCTGGAATGAATTCCCACTCAAGTCAGATAGCATGATCTGTGAGGAAAGTCAATAAACATCTCTGCACAGTTTCATGCAGCAGTGCTGACAGCTGACAAGACAGAGGCAGACAGTGGGCAAGAGAACCTGACCATGCTTGTGAGAACCCGCTTTAAATAACTGACACTGTGTACAGTGGTGGGAGAATCAAGTGAGGAAGGGAGCCGGAGTGGGGAGGAGGCCGCGGTGGTGCTCTGAGTCAGGATCTCAGAGCTCAAGATCTGGGGAGTAGAGCAATTCCAAAAGATCTAGCAAAAGCTAAGGAGATTAAAACTGTCATCCGATTTGAAGAGGCTAAAGAATGGTAAAGTTAAGTGTTAGAACGTACACTATTATCATCACATTATTATGACTAGAACAGTAGCAGCAGCTAAGTGATTTATATTTCCCTTTTAATCCTAACATTCCGACGAGGTAGTCAGTATTATTCAGTTTACAGGAGAGAAAACTGAGGTTTAGGAAGTTATGTATGCGGTCACACTGCCAATTAATGGTAGAAGTGGACATGAAACCCAGGTTTGTCTCTGAAACCTCAGGTCTGAATCACTGCACCAAGGCTCCTTACATTATCTGATATTGTTTGACTCCTTTCAGATGTCATCACCCTTCCCTCAGAATGCTCCAAAATATGGAAGAGAAAGGTTCCTGCTGAGAATAAGAGATGAGGAGACAGCGCTGGCACAGGTAGTGGAGGTTTAGGGCTGTGTGACACAAATGTCATTTTCTTCCAGTCTTCATTACATACTCTGAGCAGAAAGTCAGGAGGAATAAAGATAGAACACTCTTTCAGTTGGATAAAATATGCCGTTGGTACAAGTTTCCCAAAACCAGGGGAAAAAGGATGAGTGCCCTGTTTTACAATTATAAAGGAAATTCTGAGCAAATGATGAAGACTGTCTGTTCCAAGTCTGCGTTTTGATTAGCCTTTGCAGATGGAATGCTCTTGTAGTTTGGGAATTCTTCTGAGATTATACTGTATAAATTAACATGCACGTGCACATTCACAGGGAAGACACATGCACCGTGTCGGAAAGGGGGTGAGAGTAAGAGACCACACTAAACTGGCCGACAGAAGACGATAAACACACCGATGGGTGAAAAATCAGAAACCTGATCTTTGAAGATTATTTCCAAAGCTTTTCATAACCATTAATGTGAAGAATGTATTCAATTAACCTCAGAGATAATTAATTTTGCAAAATAAATTTGGGCGGCATCATTTTTACCAACCATGTAAGGAAAAGAAAGAAACGAAAAACTAATAAATCTCAAAGTTCTAGGATTTCAGTTATAGCACTCTTAAAAATCAAATCACGGCAATAATGTAATATTTAATATACAAAAGTTTTGAGAAAATGATAAAATGTATTATGTCTGAAAAATCCAATGTGAAATAAATTTATCTTGATACGAAAGCACTGAATGATAACTTCTAAGAACACTACATTCAAATCAGTCATTAACATACTGAATGTACATTGCTTTACTAATCTAGAAATTTCACTACAAGTCCCCAAAGTTGCAATTACCTTCCACAGTGAACCACAACAGCAACCAGGTCATACATTCTGTCAGGATTGGTTGCATCTCCTGAAGTGTTAAATAGACGAAGTTCTAACGGAAAAACTACCCGGTAAGAAAGTTTCGTGTATCGATGAAGCTGATCCATATATTTAAATCTCTTCAGATGCAGAGCTAGAATCATGGGCAGTTTTTTAACTTTCATCCTATTAAAAATAAACATGAAAACAAAATTTCACAAGACATCCACTACGTCCTTAAGAGAATCATCCAACTTTAGAATATTCAATTAACATATAGTTAATGGTCAATTTCAATAGTCTAACACAGCCCAGTTTTGCATATTACTACCAATTATTTTTATGTGGGCAAAGCTGGAGGATCAAGTAACATTCTGAAGGTCTTCAGTACCCCCACTCCATGACACCCATCATCACCAAGCTATATAATCTGACTGAGCACTCTACATGGCTCCAAAACAGATGGAATAGCATCAGCCCTCTGTCAAGAAACATCTCTGAAATACAAATCCCTTATGATACAACTGAAAAAACCTAAGTGGTGAGTCATCATCAGTCAAGTGAAAGAAGTATAACTGAGTACTAAGGACATTAAAAGTATCCCTTGTGGCACAGTGGTTAAAGCCCTTGGCTGCTAACCCAAAGGCTGGTGGTTCAAACCCAACAGCCGCTCTGCAGAAGAAAGATGTGGCAGTCCGCTTCCATAAAGCTTACAGTCTAGGAAACCCTATGGAGCAGTTCTACTCTGTCCTATAGGGTTTCTGTAAGTCAGAATCGACTCGATGGCTGTGTGTGATGGATGCGAGTGGAGATAGAAACCCTTTCGTTTTATTAATCTGTATGATGCAGTAACAGATTAGGAGACTGAAATGAGAAGCACATGAAAGACCATTCCACTAAAGGTGTTCGCCAGAGATAAGAAATAGCTCCAAATTAAGAATAATGACTACATGTATCCTAGAAAGGAAATAAACAATCTGGAAATTTCAGAGTTTACGTTTTTAACTGTGAAAGAGGCTATCATTCTCGTTCCAAATAATCTGTATTATGTCCTTAAGCACAGCTTCTCCCTGAGATTGCCTTTGCACTCTTACTTCACCTAACAACAGTCTATACTTCTTTTAAAGGTTCAGCTCACCTAACTCTGGCACAAATGACGGCTCTCTTCAAAGCTCCAACAGCGACTTTACAGATTCCCTTAATATCTGCATTGCTTATCACACTGTAAAATCTTTACGTGACTTTGATCTTTCTCTTCTTCTAAGCTCTGAATTCTTGGCAGGTAGAAACCATTTCCTTAATCTAACATGCCTGGCACATGACAGATACTTGACGGATGCTGCAAAATTTAATTCTATGTAGGTTAAGGGAAGCAAAACATTTTCATAACTAAAAAAGAAAGAAATTTACTAAGCCACTGCCTCTAATGAAGTGAAGAAAACAAAATAACCTTATAACATCATATGAAATCTGCATTCTATAGATCTTGAATGCGGTGGGCAGCTTGTTATTCCTAAAATATTTATTATTCAACTCACCTGGACTTTTAAAAACATTAGAAAAAATAAATCTAAACAAGTCATTCCTATAAAGCAATCTAGCAATATAAATTAAGAGCCTTTATAACCTTTGGTAGGGGTCCCTGGGTGGCGCAAATAGTTAAGCACTTGGCTATTGTGATGGTTTCTCTCAATAACAAAAAATCAGTAAAAATAGGGAAGATATGAACAACCTAACTGCTAATCTAATTGACCTTTATGAAACACTCTATCCCCAAACCTCAGAATACACATTCTTTTCAAGTACAATTGGAACTGGGCAATAAAAGAAGTTTCAATAAATTTCAAAAGGTTTAAATCATACAGAGTATGTTCTCTGACCAAAATAAACAGCAAAATATATCTAGAAAATTCCCCAAAATATGGAAACTAAGTAAGATACTTCCAAATAACTCATGGGACAAAGAGAAAAATCACAAGGAAAATTAGAATATATTTTGAAATGGATGATAACTAAAATACAATGTTAAAAGTTGTGGAAACACAGCTAAAGCAGCACTTAGAGGGAAATTTATAGCTTTAAATACTTAGATTAGAAGAGAAAAAAAGGTTTAAAATCACCTTAAGAAGTTAGAAAACAGAACTAATGAAAGTCAAAGCAAGCAGGAGGAAGAAAACAGAAAAGAGCAGAAATCTATAAAATAGAAAACAGAAACAATAAAGGTTCACAGCAATTAAAACTAGAGGGTCTTCTCACACAATTTCTGGGCATGCGTGTGGCTTCCTCAATTCCCCTGTATGCACAGTGCTTTCAAAAATATTAATTTCTAAAAAGAAACTCTCTTCTCCATCTCTCTTTCCAGTCTTTAGGTACTTACTGAATGCCTTACTGCACTCTTCAGTGCCAGCCACCTACAGGCAGTTACAGCCTTAGGTCAGTTCTCACTGCCCTTCAGCCCTACACGGTGCTCTGAGACAGGTCAAACCAAGATGAGTGCCTTGCTTCAGCCCTTCAGGCAGTTCCCAGACAGGTAAAAAGATGCACACACAATAATTTGCAAATGAAGTCAGCTCTGACCAAGGCCAACTCTGGGAGAGCACAAGGCACAGGTTAAGTAAAAAACCAAAGCTTTTTTACTGTTTATATGTCACCTTTTTCTTGATTCAGTGTTTCACTTAAAGTTGCTCTCTTTCACTAGTTTCCAAAGTTCTGACAAAGCTGCTTCTGCCAGTTTCTGTTTTTTTTCTTTAAGGGGAGGGGGGTGTTTTTGTGAGAGGATGGTAGCATGCAAGCTGCTTATATCAGCATTTTCCCTGAACCCCTCCCCCAAATTCATTTTCAGGCCAGCGTAAACCCAGTACCAAAACCTGATAAAAGTTACTACCAAAAAATTACAGACCAATATCCCTCATGAACATAGACAGAGAAATCATCAACAAAACATTAGCAAACTGAATCCAGCAATGTATATGACCTACTTGGTCGTGATATAACAGTTACAGGAAATGACTTTTGGGAATTGTTAAAAATCAGTTTCTTTCTAAAAACCAGTAACTGTAAAGATGCCTTTATATTCCTAAAATAACAAAGTAATCATGAACCTTTAAGGGGATTCAAAAAAATCAGTATTACATTATTTATCAAAGAAATTCCATTTCTCCTCCTAAAGAAAAATCCCTACTCTCACCTAAAGTTTCCAGAACTTCTCTGAACATCTCTGCAGAACATACATGCTGACCAACAATGTGATTTTTACAAACAAATAAAAAGTACTTCATCATTAGAGCAGAACTGAGCAAATTACAGGTATTATTTTCCCAGCAAAAATTTACTACCCACACTACATACAAGGTTCCAAACTCAAATGACTACAGGAGCCAATATAATAAAAAGTGGTGGGAATTATGGTGAATTAGGGAGCATGTCCTCCCTGGTTTTGGTCGTGTTCCCTGAAAATGGACCCAGTGACAAGATGTGCATGTGATTTATTAAAGTAGTGCTCACCAGATGGGAAGTAGGGGAAGCAAGAAATGGAAGGGGAAGAAGCCAAGAAAGGGTCTAATCTCAGGGAAAATCTCATAGAGGGTAGCTTCAGCCTACTCCCACAAAGAAAACAAACCCTGGAGTATACATTTCACCTCAGTTTTCTCCCAACAACAAGGTAGATGGGCTTTTATATCCTTTTCCCCAGCTGCCAGTCATTGTTCAAAGACTTTGGAGAGGGGGAGAAATTCCCAGAAATGTTCTTCTCTAGTAGCTCAAGGGAGTCCTCCAAAGAGAGCTAGGTATTAGAAGTGAAAGCCCTCCAAAAGACTGGGGAGTGATACTGTCTGCACCACCCCCTAACTAGAATGCCAACTACTGAATTGCAGGCAATTGACGCCATGACGGAATGCAAGCCCAGGATCCCAGTGCTGTCTGATTTTCTAATTTTTTTCAAGAATATCCAAAAATAATTTTTAAGTAAAATTTCCCATTTTATAAACCATGTAAGCCAAGCAAATAGATCTACAGACTGAATTTGGCCCAGAGAACACTAGTTTGCAGGTTCTGCCCCAGATGAATTTTATATCCCTACCACAAGGACATAAGAACTTATAAACATCTGTGATTGTTAAAGTTGTGTGTCAACTTGGCTGGGCCGTGATTCTGGCAGTTATGATGCAGTTTGGCAATCATATAATAATGTGGTCATCTCCATGATAAGATCTGATATAATGTGATCACGTCCATGATAGGATCTGCTGTGAGTAGCCAATCAGGTGAAAAGCAGCTTCTTTGGGGGTGTGGCCTGCATCCAATTATAGATGAACTTTCTGGCAAGGTCCATGATCTTTTGCTTGCCCTGGATGCTGCAGCTGGCTCCTGTTTGTCTGATTTCCAGTTCTTGGGACTTGAGCTAGCAGCTTGTCTGCCAATCTTAGGATTCATCAGCCTCTGCAGTCTGGATCTTGGGTTTGCCAGCTCCTGCGGCTATGTGAGTCGGGAAAAGCCTCCAGCTTGACCCATGGATTAGGACTTAATAGCCTCTACAACCACATGAGCCATTTCCTTGATATAAATCTCTCTCTCTATATATATATACACATATGTGTATATATGTACATAGGCATTTCACTGGTTTTGCTTCTCTAGAGAACCCAGTCTAAGACACATCCTGTTAGTAGAAAAGTCTTGACCACACAGAAAAGCTTAATAATTGTACAGATATGTAATTCCACAGGCTAAATTCTGTACCCTTATAAACTGTAACATAAATAAGAATTAACTCTGGCAAACTTAACTGGGGGTGAAAGGGGAATATAATTCTGTGACTAGATGTAAGAAAAACACTAAGGTGACTAACCAGGATGTAAGCAATTGGAGGAAATTAAGACAAGATAACATAACCCAATATCCAGCAATGTGATGAGAGTCTGTCACTGATGTGGATGAGGTCCATGGAATACCCCAACGAGTGGATGGAACACACTATTACACAATACCTAGAGATCCAGGCAGACATGAAGTCAGTCAGCATCAACTTGTCAACAGACAGTAAGGACCCAGCCAACAAGAAGTACAGGTCAGATTCAGGAGGACCCTAATGGGGGTGTGTGCAAGGAGGGTGGCTGAAGATGTTCACTAGGACAAGACAAATCCCTATTGCTGAGAAGATTCTGACATATTACAGGAGTGACCATGACCAGGACATGGGTACAGGGGAATAAGAACAAAAGGTAAGCACTTAATCTCAGGAATAGAAAGAACCCAAATTGCTGAATCTAGGGTATATACCCTGAGATGGACATGTGGCCATAACAACTTGATGCGGAGTCACCTGGGCATTGCATTGGTGCTTCTCCAATGCCTTATGAAGACAGGGTTGGTCCCAGACGTGGGCTAAACCTGCATATGGAGTAAATGGAGAGTAAACCATTGCTGTGGAGTCAATTCCAACTCATAGTGACCCTGTAGTACAGAGTAGAACTGCCACATAGGGTTTCCAAGGCTGAAATCTTTATGGAAGCAGACTGCCACATCTTTCTCCCATGGAGCGACTGGTGGGTTCAAACCACTGACCTTTTGGTTAGCAGTCGAGCGCTTAACCACTGTACCACCAGGGCTCCTTAAATGGAGAGTAGAGGGAGGAGAGCTGTGGCTCAGCACCCAGCCCACTGTCACTCATCCTCAGATCCCACACTAAGTGAGAGGAGTGACAGAGATTTTGCTCCCCAACCCCACTGCCCAGAAGAAAGGAGACCACCACCTGAAACAAAGCTATAAATCCTTTCTTTTTCTAATTCCCCAGGAACATCACTCTACCTTTACCCATATACTCTTTATCCTCCCACTGGATAAAAGTATATGAATTGTTCCGTCCACATTTCCCAAACTGAAATTCTTCCTAAGCTGTAATACAGTTTATAGGTGCACTATATAAAAGCAGTTTACATGCAAATAAATTCTGGAAAAAGCTGGGTGAAAAAAGTTATTTTCTATTCTCTGAGTTTTTTCATAGTCTACAATATAAAAGATGATTATCTAAGAGGACATTTTATTATGTAGCAAATTTATTTTATCATGGGATATCTTTTTTATTTTTATTGTGGCACATTATTAACATTTCTAGAAATTGGTCTTCAGTGTTCCCAGATTAAAATCTTTTTAAGTAAAACTGGTTTTTGTTTCTTCAGTAAGAACTATGATCTGTTCAAGGAGATGTGGTGGCAAAATGGTTAAGCATTTGGCTACTAGCTGAAAGGCTGCTGGTTCAAACACACCCAGCAGCTCCATGGGAGAAAGACCTGGTGATCTGCTCCTGTAAAGATTACAGCCTAGGAAACCCTATGGAGCAGTTCTACTCTTGTCACATGAGGTCGCGAGGAGTTGGAATTGACTCGATGGCACCTAACAACAACAACATGATCTAGATATTCAACACAGGCTTATTCTGTTATTCTAAGACTTGAACTATAGACTTTTAGAGCTGGTAAGAAACTTGGAGGTCAATAATCCAAGTGAGGTCCAAAAAGATTAAATAACTTGCTCAAGATCACACTGTAAGTTATCAGAAGGATTGACACTCGATCCCAGTGGGAAATATAGTTTCTGTATAATTGTTTTCCATGAACTTACACATCATTCTACAGAAATAGTCTAACAAAGTGTCCAAAACTATGTGGCATGTGTGTGTACATACACGCAAAAATGTTTGTCAAAGCATTGTTTATAAAAGCAAAAAAATGGGAACATCTAAATGTCTAAAAGAGAATTGGCAGGTTACTATATGTCGATACAAAAGAATAACACCACACAGCATCTCTTAAGAATGATGTAAAAGTATATCGTCAATGACATGGTTGCAATTTATTGAGAGAAAAAAGTTACAAAACTGTATATAAAGTTTGATTCCATTTGTGGAATTATGTGTGTACATACATATGCATTTAAATCTAAGACATATACAAAAATGTTAACAATGCTTTTGTGACTGTTGTTGTTACTGTTGAGTCAATTCTGACTCATGGTGACCCCATGTCTGCAGAGTAGAACTGCTCCATAAGGTTTCAAGGCTGCGACCGTTTGGAAGCAGATCGCCAGGCTGTGTCCCCGAGGTGCCTCTGGGTGGGTCTGAACCACCAACCTTCTGGAGTCTAGCACTTAACTGTTTGTACCACCCAGGGACACCTGCTTTTGAAAATAGTGATTCTTAATTTATTAATACTTATCTGTGTTTTCTAATTTCTTTACAAAAAACACATATTCCTCATATAATTTAATAAAAGATCTAACATTAAATAGAATTTTGTAGACAATCCCCAGTAACTCATATATGATTATTTGTGTAACTGTTATTCTATGTGATGATCAGCTCATGTTTTCGTTCACAGATGGGTCAATAAAGTTTGTGAGTTGCTTTCCTCTTAGCTACTTTGACTCCTTCTTCCTTAACCAAGAGTCTTAGGTGCTTTCCACAAAAGTTTCAGGATTAATTTCATAATCCGCCCCCAAGCAGATTAGACTTATCTGAGCTGTTCCCCTCACCTGCACTAATGGAAGGAAATAGTGAATAATCTGTTTTGATTACTTGTATCCATTACCAAAAAACCTCCCTTCCTAGTAGATACGCCTGTATCCAAAACAAAACAAAAACACAATCATTTAAAAATCTGAGCTCTTCCCCTCCCCTTTATGAAGAATTCAGTTCAGAAACCATTAGATGGGGTCCAGTAAGGTAGGAATCTGTGTGGGTGGGGTAGGAGGGGCAAGAGGAGGGCATCTGTGTGAGAGTGCATGTGTGTATGTGTTATAGGGGAGCAGGCTGGGAGAGTGCAATTGGTTACATACAGGAGCAATGACTCAAAAAGTAAATAGTAAATACAGTGACGATAATGGGATCCAATTTTTACTGTCAGAGAAGGAAGCCACAAATATGAAATGGGAGAAAACTAGAATGAACTCTATGGTACAGGCTGAAATTGGATATATCACCATAAATTCATGGTTTCTGGATGGATGGATGATGGATGGATGGACAGACAGATGGAGAGGAAGGGAGAAAGAGAGGGAGGAGAAATAAATGCAGATGTATATATGTATGTATACATACACACATACAGACACATACATACATCCTCTAGCTCTGTTCACTAAGGGGACTTGACAACAGCAACATCCCAATAGCAATGAACACCTACACCCAGATCCTGTTATGAAGATCATTAAACTCAAGAAAAGACCAAGGAACTGTTCCAGATTGAGAAGACTAACGGGACGTGAATTCTAAACGTAACATATGATTCTGGACTGGATCTTTTTTCTACAAAGAACACTACTGGACAACTGGTAACACTTAAATATAGTCTGAGGATTAAATAATAGTAATGTGTTAATGTAAATGTCCGGATTTTGATGGATATGGTTACACAGGAAATTTCCTGGTTTATAGGGAATACATACTAAAATGTCTGGGACCACGGGCAACATATCAGTGACTTACTTCCAAACGACTTCGAGAAAAAAAAAACACGTTTTGTTCTGTTTGTGATTTTTTTGAAATAAGATATGTAATAATAGTAATAACGATGATGGTTTCCATTCCTTGACAACAAAATTCAGTCCTCATAATAACACACAGAGAGAAGGTACGAAATCCTACGTAGGAACAGCAGAAGCCAGAGTGAGGGTGAGGGGAGCACTTACTCCTCTCACTCATTCTTGAAAAGAAAAGAAGTTTACATAATCAGGAAAGTTGCAAAGACAAACATTTTAACTGTATTGGTTTATGATTAAATGTCACTACATGTGGAAAATTACCTGAGGGTCCAGAGTCTTCGTAATAAAAGCTTCAAGCGGAACATCATTTACCTCATAACTATTTAATGAGTCTTAACTGTGATAAAAGTAAGAATTCTTACTTAATATAAATTTTCATAAATCACTTTCAGCTAGAAAAGCCCCTCTACAACATCTACTGCCAAACAGTCACTAAAAAATTCAAGAATCACCAAATTACCGTTTGTGTGCTTCCTGTTTGCTGCGACACTCTTCACAGTAGTATTTGTACTCACTGCACAGAGTTTCTGTGTTGCTAAAACCCCTGTGTAAATGTCAAAATAAATTTATTTTGTATATGCCACGAAAAATCATGTATTCATTTAAAAATATTCTAAACTGAAGACAATCATTAAATTTCAAAAATAAGTAATTCTATAAATACCTTAAGCAGTGAGTAATTGATGTGTTTTGTTCCACGTCAACAGAAAGGTCTAAAAAATCTTCATCTTTGCTGCTTATCTGTAAAAATAAGGAATTATCTTTGATTTCTTCAAATATTAGTAAGCCACTATTCCAGCTGATAGGTCTACCATTCTCAGACTCTCACTGCGTCTCGTGCTGACCTATACCATAGCGCCTGCACTAGAACCGTCCCATTACTCATTGGTCGGTCTTCACTAGCCTATGAGCATCTTGATATCAGAGATTATGTCTTAATCATCTTCTACCACCTTCTACCTATTTTCTACCTAGTATAACGAGTACTCAAATATTTGTGTACCACTGGACGAAGAAATATATATTCACTCTTTGAGAAATCCTGGATTTCATCCCTCCGGATTAGTTAGATAAATTACATTGACACTAATGATCATTTACTGAATCTGCATGATGATGGCTTAGATTTTGAGGAAATAGTCTCAGTTTATACCCTTAATTTTTGACAGTTTGTCTGCAAATGTATACTGCAGGCCACAGGATGACCTAGTGAAGAATGGGTGAAATGATCAGTATCCATGCTTTACAAATCGAATCAATAAATATTTGCGTACCAGAAACAAGAAGGCCTGGTATCACTTTCTCCTTTAAAAACTTTCAATCCCCACCCTCTACCATCGCCGGTGTGCAAAATAAACTTCAATGGCCTTAGCACAGCAACCCAAAGGCCTTCACATAGGTTCCCCAAACCTACCTTTCCAATCTCATCTATTACTGCATTTCTCAAAATGCTAATAAGCAAATTCAACTACCTTTTGTTTCACTGAAGAAGACTGTATTATACACATTCTGACATCTTCTAATACAAACCAAAGTCCACAATGAACATCAAGGAAACTGCCAAATTCTGACTACCCCTACATTTCAAGTTGACATACTGCTCTAATAATAAATAGGGCAACATATTTCCTAAGGCCTAGAATTCAGTTATGACAAAATTTTAACATTTAACTAACTACAAAACTAAACAACTTGCATTAAAATAATAATTGGAGTTGATTAAACTGAAAAAAGATGAGTATTGAGCCCAATTCCTATAGCACACATTGCCCAGTCCAGCCATTACTGCAATTAACTGATGGTTGGGGCATCCTTACTCTAACCTGGAAACATCTTCCCAGTCTGCTGTTATGTACTTAAGTACTCAGTTATACTTCTTTCACTTGACCTGATAAAGGCTCATCACTAAGAATTTATTCAGAAAAGTGAATTTTATTTATTTACGGGTACTGTGTCCTTTATTAACTGAAATGACACTATTGACAGTGATCATCTGCCAAATGATCAACACATAATCAACAGCCAATAGACTGCTCCTTGGGGTGGGGTTATGGCTTCTATTTAAAGAGCATATCGTTTTATTCATGGTTGAACCCCTCCTCCCCCCCCAAAAAAATCACTATTTGCTTAAAAGAAAAGGAAAAAAAAAAGCCTGCTCCTTATTAGTCTCTGTCAGCGTATGTATATTCAAGTGGACTGTGTTATGGAATAGAATTGAGAATCCCGACATAAATTCATCTACCTATGAGCAGCTGATATTTGATAAAGGCCCAAAGTCCGTTAACTGGGGAAGACAGTCTCTTTAACAAATAGTGCTGGCAGACCTGGATATCCATCTGCAAAAAACTGAAACAAGACCCATACCTCATACCATGCACAAAAACTAACTCAAAATGGATCAAAGACTTAAATATAAAATCAAAAACGATAAAGATCATGGAAGAAAAAATAGGGACAACGCTAGGAGCCCTAATACATGGCATAAACACAATACGAACCATAAGTAACAACGCACAAGCACCAGAAGAGAGACTAGAGAACCGGGAGCACCTAGAAATCAAACACTTATGCTCATCAAAAGACTTCACCAAAAGAGTCAAAACACAACCTACAGACTGGGAAAAAATTTTTGGCTAGGACAAATCCAATCAGCATCTAATCACAAAAATCTACAATACTGCAAAACCTCAAAAACAAAAAGACAAATAACCCAATTAAAAAATGGGCAAAAGATATGAACAGGCACTTCACCGAAGAAGATATTCAGGCGGCTAACAGACACATGA